TGCACCGCAGAATCTCTTCGTATGTTCGTTAGCGCTGGCAGTTCTCTCCTTGTTACTTTATGGACCTGCATCAATCCTGCCCGTTGAGCCTTCATTGGCATTGAACTATTTTGCCATGATACCATTCGGTGTATCTTCAGCAATGATCTTGACCGCTGCGCCGGAAGAGATGATCCGCACACTAGATGGTCACGGCGTCGGTAACTTGCAAGAGGTTGGCACACACGTGGCAGCCTTGACACAGGCAACACTCTCGGGTGCGTATCTGATCGGGGCGCTGCCAGGGCCATTATTGGCAAAAGTTCTCGGCCTGCGTGTGCTGAGCTCGATTGCTGTGTTTGTGTTCATTTTACTGACGGTTTTGTTTGCACTGGGCCATTGCGTCACCTGGAGGAAAGCGAGGCGATCGGAGAAGCAGCGGCAGAATGCCCATCAGCCAGGTACTGTGCCCTCGACTTCCCACATCAAAGACCTGGAGCTAGCAAGCATGCCGTTGTATGTAAGTGAATGTGCAGAATAATTGGTAGAGTGTCTATTGGGGATAATTTCCCCCGGTTCAGATATTTTTTTCAAATTGTGATTTATAGACCTCCCCAGATGTTCAAACTTCTTCAACAGTTTCGAATTTCTATGCCATCTATTTTGAAATGATACACCTGAAAAGCAGTTGCATCATACTACAACAACAACATAGCATAAACTAGTCTTTTACGAGAACACTGAGTATAGTACTCTGTGTTGGGCCGGGGGGGGGGGGGGGGGGGGACTGTAGGGAGGGCCCAAATATGCTAAAAAAATTCGCATGTTATGCTTTTCGCATATTGGCCACTTGCTTCAAAATATGCTTCGAAATCACACAAAAGCAGAAAAATATGCTCGAAATATGCTCGTAATATGCTTGAAATATGAACTGATATCAGTGATAATTATGCGAATTCTTTGCTCCTTGTAGCAAAATATGCTACATTTGGTACAATAGGCTAGATTTGCTACTTTATGCGACTTCAGTCGCGGACACTCTTCTCGGGTCAAGTTTTCGCCCCGTGTTTGGATGAGCATTTTTCCTTCCGGGCTAAGTTTGGAAATGTTCCCTGACCGAGCGTGCCATGGTAAGTTTCCTTGGCCATTTCCGCAATCTGCCCTATAATTATGCGAATTATTTGCTCCTTGTAACAAAATATGCTACATTTGGTACAATATGCTAGATTTGCTACTTTATGCTACCTTGTGTCAAAAGGACCAAATATGCGAAAATATGCGCAAGCATATTCTGGCCCTCCCTGGGGGGGGGGGGGAGAGGGGCATCCAGCTTGAGCCGGGGGGGGGGGGGGTGAGAGGGGCATCCAGCTTGGGCCGGGGGGGGGGGGGGGGGGAGAGAGGGGCATCCAGCTTGGGCCGGGGAAAACTAAGCCTGTAGAGTGTAGTGGGTTTTTGGTCCGGCATGTTCCGTGAAATAATAATTATAAAAAAAGGTTCTGCTCCGGCTCTCTGCCTTCTCCGGGAACAAAAGAAAACTAGTTTAGCTTCAAAGAGATCATTTGACGACAGAAGTGGCTGAAGTGCTAGATGTCAAGTACTTACCCACCTGGTAACATTTTTGTACTGAATGCTCTTTTTTGTATTTGTTGCAAGTGCCTCTGGGTCTCTAATCTTGTTAGAATAGGAAAGCAAAGCTAGTGAGTACATGTGGTGCAGGTGAGACCTAGTGCACTTCTGCTGACCTTAATGTTCAAGTGCATTGATTTTTCACGTAGGGTTCAGATGAAAGACAATTATTTTTGATATCCTTCGAATAGCATATCTCTCGCTTGCAAAGGATAAGCCAAACTCGCCAATTGTATGATATACACTGCCATAGCGACCAGCGCAGTGATGACGTACGATCGGCTTAGCTCCGCCAGAGAGAAGGTTGATCACTGTAGAATTTTGTCATTTTCAATTGTCTTATTGTATTCACGATGTGAAAGAAGTGCTGTGTTCAATGCTGTTAGTGTCGTGAACTGTTTATCGGCCTTTTCCTGCATTTCCCGAGGCTGACTGTAGCCTAGGAAATGGTTCCTCTAGGAAAATATGCTTGGTATTCGCCATCTCTTCTGAGATATTTTCACCAAACTTTCAAAAAAAAAGTACGACGTAACATATTATGTTCACTTGATTATGTTGTTCGTCAATCTCCACCACCCGTCGTCTCACCTGGCTTCAGAAGATATTACGAGAGATAGGAGAGTCGCCAGCAAGCATCACATCAATCTTCAGGAAGTGGAAAGAGCAAACGGCATGGTCCTCGGGGGTAAATGCTGAACGTCTGATTTGTCCCAACCAAGATTTCCGCACTTGGTTTGTCACTTTTTCGCTTGTCTACTGTTGTCTCCGCACCCCAGCTTCCTCATGTCGGTGTCACGTCCCAGTACACAACCGAGAGGACTACTAATAAACAGTTCATGGTGCTAGCAACATTGAACACAGCACTTCTTTCACATTGTGAATACAATAAGTCATTATAAGACCGTGAATTGAAAATGACAAAATTCTACAGTGATCGACCTTCTCTCTGGCGGAGCTAAGCCGATCGTACGTCATCACTGCGCTGGTCGCTATGGCAACGTATATCCTACAATTGGCGAGTTTGGCAGTTATCGTATGCAAGTGAGAGATACATGTATGGCATTCGAACCGATATCAAAATTAATTGTCTTTCATCTGAGCCCTACTTGTTAGTGGTTGTGTGTATCATTAGGTGCAACTCTGACCAGCACCTGCATCATGAAAAGAGGCTGTGCCTCTCATCACTTTTCATGTACATGTACATGTACATGTATATACCGGCATCCTCAATAAACGAGGCATAATTAAATTATTTTCAGTATTAAAGCAAAATGTCCACTTCATGCACATAATCATTGCAGCAGTGACATACGTGCTCCTGGCCGAATCCAGGAGAATTTCCGTAGCACAAATGGCACTGGATTCTAAATGGTACCACAGCCTGTACAGGGTCCTGTCCTGAGTTGACCAAAGACCTTGGATATGGTCAGTGGCAGTAATTGTAATTGTATTGGTATACAAGTTATACAATCCATACATGTACCGGCGGTACTACATGTAGGTGATGTGCGTACAGAACATTACCATTATGTAACTATCCTCAATAGGATTTGATCACATAAAATCTTGCACAGAGGAGCTGTGTCAGGAATGCTGTGCAAGCAATGCTTGGGACATGCCAAGGTCATGCGTTTGTGCTCAGGAGGTGCAGGCCTGTGCAGTCAACAACGCTCAACAGTAATCGTTTTACTGTTGTTGGCAAAGTGTAGCTAATGAAGGCGAAGAGCCGCTACATTGTACGTGACATTGTAGACTGATTTCCTACAATGACTTTTGTTGTAGTACACGCAGAACAATTGCATGCAGTACGTGCTGCAGTGCATGCAGGCGAGTCAGGGGGTCTGCTTTGTCGTTTACATGTATAATTACGATTGTACTAGTACTTGTACTGTCTTGTTCGTCTCGCCGGCCATATCAGGACTCGTATACGACTCCCTGATCATATTATTGCACAAGTACAAGTAAGGCTCGCCGCCGACTGTGCTAATTCATAGGAATTCCGTGGGGCGAAGGAGGAGCCTGCAGGGCGCAACCCGTCGCTTCTTCACTGCCCCAGGCGATACTTCTTGTCCAATCCGTGCTCTCCAACTGTCCAAGTGCAAATAATGTACAAGTAATGTATTCTGCATAGGCCAGTGGTGCGTGCACTCGTGCCTGTTGCTTCACTCGTCCATGTCCGGGCACATTGCTAGTTTACTTGAGCTAAGTTGAGAACGGGTTTATTCACAACACCAATCGCATGAAAGCATAAAGGAGGAACAAAAGCAAAAAGACAACCCAAGTTCGGAAATAAAATTGATAGACCGTATTGTCCAATGGTCTTGGCAGTATCATCATCGACATGCATGTACATGTATATGCATGCACATCCGCCAACGTCAACGTCCTTCACAGCTGAGACTTTCAGCTCGTGCTTGTCTTGGTTCTGCTCACCTTCCCCTCATCTGTTTTCATATAACTAATTACTTAGAACCTTCCAAGTTGGAAGGCTGTTGGAGTGCGCATCCAAGATGTGCTAGAGCTGATAGCCAGTTAGCTGTAGAACGTCGGTCAGTGTCGTGCAATGTTATCGCATGAGCTGATTGCTTAGTAACTGGTGGTGGTAGCGGACATTATAGCGTAACTAGCTTGTAGTTCTTTGGTCCTTTCTCTTTTTTTATAAATTTATCCTTGGCTCTCCATCCGAGTCCATTATTACACTTGAATCGTTTGCAGGCAACCTGCCTACACTCAAGAATTTTAATAGGGCAAACCCGATAGGCCTAAGGCCTTTTTACAGAGTACTCTAGGCCGGGCATAAACGGGCCTCAGCAGGGAGCGCAAACATTCGTAGATCTACTCGTTTTCGATCAGCCTACAGCAGTCATCACGGCCCTTCGCGCGGAAGCGCGGGGTGGGGGCGGGGGCTGTGGTTAGGCGATCTCAGTCTTACTCTTGTTTTTTCACCATTCAATGCCTCTTTTACGGGCAACAAATAACACAATGGATTAAAATGCAATACACTTGCTTGATTCAATGATAAAAATTAGTACTAGTAATGTAGTTAGCCCACCCTGTCGTGCGAACAATGTCATACCGACACCGCAAGTGCAGAACGATGCTCTCAACTTTCGACACAACACTTGAACCCAAGCACCATAGGCATAGGCACAAGACTACGTTATGCCCAGTACAGACAGACGCAGCACTGGTACCCAATCGAATAATAAGTAACACATGCACGATCACAGTATAACGCGTCTAGTAGTATAGTCAGGGGAGAGGAGGAAGTCTCTCAACCAGTCGGGCGTGGCGACCCATATAAACCCTGTAAACTGCATCCTTGTTATCCTCACTCCGAGCTGTGAATAGATCTACCCATGGCCCAGTTGACCGTGGGTGTCGGCACAGTTCAACACGCGTAAAAAGTAGGGAAATTTGACGGAACGATTCTTTTCAGCTGGCGGTTCCTTACCCGAACCGTTTCACCCCTAGTAAAAAAAGTCTTTCTGCACGCTCCCTGCTACCAGCGCGGGTCTTGAACTCGGGACTTAGAGATTCGCAGGCAGGCCTGCAAACCAATCGCCGAATCGGATATGCGTTGGTGACTTCCTTGTGAGGTCTGCATTCGCCACTAAGGTGAACAGGCATAGTGCAGTGGTGGCCTGCGGATGCGAAGGCTAATTTGTGTGTTTCTGAACATTCAAGCGATGTCGATGCGGATCCCGCGAATAGTCTGGCAGCCGGAAATGGATGAGGATGATCTTCCGATTGTTCTGCCGCTTTGGAGTAGAACAGGACCGCGGTTGTTTCCCAAATACAGCCCAGTGCGCGTGCGAGGCTGTAAATCCGCAAATTTCTGCCGCAGCGCCAGCCCGCTGTGTTTAGCACCGGTGCAGCATAACAGCACTGTCAGCAGGAAATCCGCAGATGATGCAGAAAACCTTCTATCCGGCCGCGAGGACAAGGATGGCGTTCCACTACAAACCTGTTCAGAAGTGCATCGCCAGAATAGGAAAGAGGGCGATAGAGAAGTAAGAAAATACTCTCGCCGAAAGCTGTTACTGGGTGCTTGCGTTATGGCAAATATCGTATCCGTTTCCCTGGCCGTCTCTATTCTCTTCCCGTTTCTCACCAGGGAAGTGCTGAAAGCCTTTCCGACTGCAGGAATCGGTCGCCATCTGGTGGTGGGTGTTTTATTTTCTACGACAACTATAGTCGAGGCTGTTGTTGCACCAGTAACAGCTACCGATCTGCACAATGCTGGAGAGAAGAACGTGCTTGTGTTGAGCTCATTCCTGGTGAGCGGTTCACTGCTGCTGTTTGGATTTGTCAACCAGGTCAAATCATGGACTGCATTTGTGCTACTGGCTATACCAATACGAGTTGTACAAGGTGTTGGCAGTGGTGCCAATTTCACCGCTGCATACACCTTACTTGTGACCACATTTCCAGAGTCGACAGGACTAGTGAATGGAATTATCCGTGCTCTGAATGGCTTTGGCTATGCGGTTGGCCCCGCTGTCGGTGGTTTCCTTTACGATGTTGGCGGCTTTCACTTGCCCTGTTCTGTGATGACGGCAGTGTGGACAAGCGTGGTGAATACCATCCTCCTCATTGGCACAGAAAAAAGCGATAGAGACAGTGGCATACACACAAGACTGCGGCAAGGAAAGAGTGCAGTGACGTTCAAACATATCCTCAGTTTCCCATGGGTATGGATGTGCATGCTGCTACTAGCCATGGGCATAGGAATGTGCGGACTGGTTGAGTCCACCATATCTCAGTTCATGAAGGATGAGTTTGGTGCATCGTCAAGCAAAGGCGGACTAGCACTGCTGCTGTTCTCGTTCTCGTTTGGTGCTGGGTCGTTCCTGTGTGGTGTTGCGTTGGATAAGTGGATAGGGCCAAGAACTATGTGCTTGTTTGGACTCGGTGCGGCCATTGTGTCTTTCCTGATGTACGGGCCGGCATCGATACTCCCCAAAGGACCCTCGGTGCCGTTGACTTACATCTCCACCGTACCGTATGGAATGGCGGTGGCCATTCTACTCACATCAGCACCCGAGGACATGCTGCGCACATTGCGACGCCGTGGTGTGGGTGATGCATGCTCTGTGGGTGCATACGTTGGTGCAGTTACGCAGGTCGGCATATCATTATTTTACACACCCGGATTACTACTGGGTCCCGTCCTGTCAGCTACTGTAGGAGTGAGGAAACTATCCTCCTTACTTGCCGCAGTGTACTTCTCACTTGCCATCATCTTTCTCATTGGACATGTCAGAACTTGGAGAAGGGACAAACAATTGGATAGCCCAGGCACCCCAGCAGAGAGTGACAGTGAACCCATCAACAACGCTAAGACAGCATGTGAACAGAGAGAGATGATACCACTCGTGACAGCCGCTGAGCCCAGGGACCCGGCCAGTCATGGCGCAGCACCTGTACATGTGAGCGGACAAGGTAGAAATGGAACGTTAACTGCAGTCTGGCAAAAACTGTTTTTTTGCATGACGGTTACCTACAACTATCTGTTTTTCAGATCCCAAAGTTTCAGGCTGATACTATGGTGGGAAGTGCCTTACATTCACCATTTTCTAGATGCCGGTCAGTATTTTAACGTCTGTTTCGGGATGATTTAAACAGTCCACCCTTCAGTACAACCAAAACACTGAAAAAAACCCATTATCTTGGCCTGTTTTTCTCCACAAGTGTATATCAGCGTGAAAGATGAGCTGATCACACATATGGACTCGTTTGAGGTGGAACCAAGCAACAAAACCACATAACTAGAAACAGCCGGAGCCGAAAAATCAGCTCCAGAGTAACTCGTGATGCAAGGCAAAATAATAGGACTGTTGAAGCTGGTACTCAATCCACACATCAAATACCACTACACACATGTCAAAAATAGAAGAATTTGGCGGACAAATGGTAATTCCAGTGCGTTCTTGCTTCAGCCATGTGTGCACGCTCTCATCGTATACTGTTGGCGACCTCGGACTCTGCTCTGATGCATTGAGGCTCCCGACGACTGAGCGGCGCACCTTGGTAATATAGTTTGTAACATTTTGGCAGGAGACAGACAGCTCTTGAACACACAGCATCGAAATAATATTCCGGAGACGCACCACCAATACGGTGCCCATTGGCGAAGCAGGACGAGTCCACAGACTTGAGAAACTGTACTTAACGTAACGTTACACATCAGTCCGCAATCCGAGGCCCGATTTGACTTCTTTCCACTCAGCTCATGTTCACCAGCCTTGACCATTCTGTGTATCTCAATTCTTAAAACACTCATTTCCAGACAGTGCACGATGCAGGTCTGCCACTTGCATCCAATGCATTGGGCAACAGCTAGCTAGTTGTTCTGGGCTATTAAGTCCCTGCATACGTTCCCCTGTGGTGCACGACGCTATTGTTTCTTCAGCTCCTGCCATGTGTGCTTCAGAGCTCTGAAGTCAGTTCGGCGTATACATTCAGTACAACTCAGCATCCACAGGAACGTTCCCCTTCATTGGTGTTACCATCATCACTGCTGTCACCACGTTCGCCTGCATCCGAAAGATCCATCTCATTTGTTCCCTATGTCTTTTTGTACCGCGCTGAAGCCAGCAGCAAACAAAACGCTGATCGGCACGTCGTCACGGTTTTCGGCGTAGTGGAAGACGCTCTCGACTACTACCTGACTCAGAAACGCTCTCAGAATCAGAGAAGCTCTCAGCACCTGACAGCAGGCTATCAGCTGATCGCCGTCACCTCCAAATTCGCCCGTGAATACGCCACCCGTCGCACAACTAGCTGCCATATCTTCCTTCAGCCATAACGGATTCACTTCAAATTTTCAGTGCTGGACCTTGAAGCCCTGTGCTGAGCGAGGCACAAGCGCTTGATGCAAATAGAGCCCTCTAACCCAGGTAAAAAATATGCCACAGTTTGCCAAACTTCAAACGCCTGTATCTCAAAATGATGTCATGCAGCTAACGTTCCATTTCTACCTTGTCCGCTCACACATGTACATGTATCTGATAATAAGTTGATCAACTGAACAGGCAATGTGTGTTGGTTGTAGTCTGCCTGCCGCATGATGATAATACACAAGAAACTTGAACACCGTGACTGACACTGTAGTGTAGACTGTGGTGCACTGTAGACTGTGACTGACACTGTAGACTGTGGACACCGTGACTGACACTGTAGTGTAGACTGTGGTTGAACACCGTGACCATGGTGACTGGCACTGTAGACTGTGGTGCAGTGTAGACTGTGGTGCAGTGTAGACTGTGGACTGTGGTGCAGTGTGGACTGTGGTGCACTGTAGACTGTGGTGCAGTGTGGACTGTGGTGCAGTGTAGACTGTGGTGCAGTGTAGACTGTGATGCACTGTAGACTGTGGTGCACTGTAGACTGTGGTGCACTGTAGACTGTGGTGCACTGTAGACTGTGATGCAGTGTGGACACTAGTTAGTTACATGAGCCACCATTGTCACCATGGTCACAATGTACTAATGATGTATTCAATTTAGGTATTGCTATAAAGTAGACCAACGCATATGGCCGATTGGTTTGCAGGCCTGCCTGCGAACTCATCATGACATGAGGTCCCGAGTTCGAGACCCGCGCTGGCAGCAGGGAGCGTGTAAAAAGACTTTTTACGCGTGTTGAACTGCGCCGAAACCCACGGTCAACTAGGTACTCACAGCTCGAGTGAGGATAACAAGGATGCAGTTTACAGGGTTATGGGCCGTTACACGCCCGATTGGTTGAGAGACTCACCTCCTCTCCCCTGACTCACTTGTGAGGTCTGCATTCGCCACTAAGGGCCGGGTTCCACTGCGGCTCCGCTGCTCGTCTTTCGCGGCTTGAAACGTCATCATTACCATAGTGACCGCGGCTCGAGCTGGAGCAGCGAGTCCGCGGCTCACCGCGAGCTTTTGCTACGATTCTTGACCAAAAACTGCGAGCCGCGGTAGCGGCTCGACCTGTTTCCCGTACTTTGCATTGTTTTGTACGCCAGAATTTTAAAATTCAAATTTTTATTCGTTGCGCAGGCCAGGACACGAGGATTTGTTTGATTTCGCGCGCTCAGGCAGGTGAAACGTCATCAAAAAGTGTGGACCACGACCGCGGTACCGCGAATGGCGAGTGACAGTGGAACCGCGCTGCTCCGCTGCATGCAGCCAAGTGCCGCGGAGAAGCGGAGCCGCGGAGCCGCAGTGGAACCCGGCCCTAAGGTGTAAAGGCATAGTGGTGGCCTGCGGAAGCGAAGGCTATACTAGCCGCTAGTAGTATAGCTTGTGTGTTTCTGAACATTCAAGTGATGCTAACGCGGTAGGCCTTGACGGATTATGCTAGCATAATTTTTCGCATAAAGCGGGATTCACAGAAGCTTTTTTGCGATGCGACACGCGATGCGACGCGATCTGCGATGGATGCGTGCGATGCGAACTCGCGAAATACCATTCACAGAAGAAGTCAGCGATGCGACAAAGTTTTGCTGATTTGGGTACGTCACCATGATATTCGCGCGGTTTGACACAACTTGTAAAAATTTATAGGCAACTCTTGCACCTTTGTACAACTTTGCTGTAGAAAAGGTCAAAATCGTACACCAAATCGCTTGTCGCATCGCATCGCATCGCAAAAGTTGAGCCAAGCTCAACTAATTACTTCTGCGACAGCCTGCGATGGCCCAGTTGCGGCAGTTGCGTTGGCCGCGACATGGTTGCGATTTGGGGTTTCCCCGGTTTCGCGCCTGTCGCATCGCGTGTCGCATCACAAAAAAGCTTCTGTGAATCCCGCTTAATTCCTACCAAAATCGAATAATCGCATAATTCGAGGCAAATTGCATATGAATCGCATAAAATTGTAATAATCCGCCTGTTCGCATCAAATTCCATACAGTTGTACATGTTCTACAAGTACAAGTACAAGTAGATGCACTAGGAAGTTGTAGGTTTACGACTCCCTTGATAACATGTCCAGTCCACTACAATCAGTGATGGTCGTAGCTAGGTCGGACGTTGACCCCGTTGAACTTTTGCTACTACAGTACAACGCCCTCTACAAAAAAATTCCCCTGTTATTTTGCACAGAACCATTATGCATTAGCAGCATATGTATATGTGAGCATAATGCGGCATAATATAATAACTTTTAGCATAAAAATAGCATAATTCTGCAATTTTTTCAGCAATGCGAAAAGCATAATTTCACGAAAATATTAGCATAATCCGTCAAGGCCTATAACGCGGATCCCGCATGCTCCCATCTTCCACCCTTTATGCCCTTGCTCACACTACCCCTTTGTCTAAGAGACGTAATTCACATCTTGTCACCCTTATCCATTCTCTCAAACTCAATCTGTGTCCAGTGGCTGTCCACCTCACCTCCACTGTTTCAACTGGTTTTCTTCCCGTAGCACGAGAAACTCCCTTTCCCTTCCGAAACCCAAGTCCTCCTTTTTACTTCACTCTCCCCTTTTCACTGCGTACTCTGCGTGGCTGGCACTTCCCCAAGAAGCTAAGGACCTTTCTTCCCTCCGCCTTTTTAATTAAGAGCCTTGTCGCCCCTTGACTTTGATTTTGTGTTTCTCATTTTGTTGCAATCACTACTTATCCATGCCGGTTCCTTTTTCTTCTCCTCCCCTTCTCCCTTCCTTGCCGTGGTTGGCTAACACCCTCTCTCTTTGTATTGGCCGGTGTTCTCACTGTGCTATGAGATGCTGCAATAAATAAATAGTAAAACATCTATGAAATACTGTAAAAGCAGAAATTTTCGGTGGTGTTTTATTTTCGGTAACTTCGGTGCCGACAATTTTTACCGAAAATAAAACGCACCGAAATTTTCGGTACAACCGATACTGTATACATGCACATGTAGTACTAGCACACCTACCTGGAGAACGGGTTTTACCGAAAATTTCCCGCTACCGAACCGCCGATTTTGGCGAATACCGAAAATATTACACCACCGAAATGTTCTCCTTTTACGGTAGGTCACAATAACATGAAGAGAACCAACCTACATATGCATGATTGCACAAGAATGGAGACGACTAATGGCTATAATCATTGTGCCACAAAACAGGTATACAGGAGATCTGTCGACAATGTACTTGTAACGAAACATAAAACTCAGTTACTCAATACAGGTTCCACTAAATTACAAGACAACAACGCTACAACATTAGAATTGCCGCTAAATTATCGCAAGTGTAGAGAACGAGTCCAATACAAATACAAATACGACAATTTGGATTTTAGTATTTTTTGGAAGAATTTGTAGCCGAGAGACATGTACGAGGTGATCTGCAATTACATGTATGTAACGTGGTACCAGTAGTAAATTTTCTATTTTTCTCTACTTTCCGGGACCATGATGACGGTTGACACATTGTGTCAACCGTTGCTATGAAGTTGAAGTTTGGTCTTCTGTGGTGCCCTCACCAAAACAATTGACCTGGTGGGCCATCTCTAAAGGTACAGAATGTCACCCTGCAGCAAGGGTGTTTTTGAGCTCATGGAAGTAGGATCTGTACTGAGTATGTAACATTGATGAGTAAAGTAACGGTCTACACCCGCAAATGTCACTGACAGATCTGTAAAAACGCATTGGCAATACATGTACATGTACAAGGTACAGGCACCAGTTCTCCGAGTGTCGCAATGTCAAACGCCATTTGAATCGACAACATCTCGGATATACATGTACATGTACAGCTGATACGAATATTGAAATTGTGCTAATCTATTCAAAATTCGTCTCACTGCAATCTCCCTCCTAGGAAGCGCATTTGTATTGTATGGTATTCAATAATTGTATTATTTTACTTGCGAATTCCCAACGGACCCTAAGGTCTTCTTACAGGGTGCCCAAGATGATTGAATGTATTAAAGGGGAAGTATACCCTAAAATCAAATTTTCACCGGTTGTAGTCTTCTGGGTGCTGAGTCGAATGGTCTTGGTCCGAGGAAGCTGCGACGCTCCCTTCCTACTTGAATCCCAATCGAACTCGCGCACTTCCACTGAAACTGGGTGACTGCGCCCTACTAGATGGGGATTTGTATGCAAAATGTCACTAAAAGCGCCATTCCGTTCTTATAGAAGCACGGATGCGTACACCAGTCACCTGGTCACCGTGCCTGCAGTGCAGGGTACAACTTACTAGCCTGTTTGACCTTTTTTGGGTGCAGTCCTGTCACTCGAGTTATTATTATTATTATTATTATTATTTGAAACTCGGATGTTGAGCCAAAAATAAATGTGGAAGAGAAAAGGACATATGGATACGAGTTAAGAGTAACTCTCCATCACTGTAACATGATACTATATACAGTCAGAAAGTGCAATAACTAGGCACAAAACTGACAGAGTACTGAAACATTCGACGTCCTGACACCTAGCTTTAACACATCTCCGTAGCGCTAACCGACAGCCTTCCAACTTGGAAGGTTCAAGGTTATGGAAAAGACCAAAGAGGGGAAGGCCTTCCCCTCTTTGGCCTTCCCCTCTTTGGTCTTTTCCATAACCTTGAACCTTCCAAGTTGGAAGGCTGTCGGTTAGCGCTACGGAGATGTGTTAAAGCTAGGTGTCAGGACGTCGAATGTTTCAGTACTCTGTCAGTTTTGTGCCTAGTTATTGCACTTTCTGACTGTATATAGTATCATGTTACAGTGATGGAGAGTTACTCTTAACTCGTATCCATATGTCCTTTTCTCTTCCACATTTATTTTTGGCTCAACATCCGAGTTTCAAATTGCACACCTGATGAGCCGTCACGAACCACACGGCGAAACGTACGTCGTGTGAAACCACTTGTTTTGTAGTCAACTAGTCCATCACAATGTCATGCATGAGGAGTACTGTAGGAGTTTGGCTTTCGGCTTGTACAATTCGTTTTCGCAAAGCTTCCCTTTCTTTACTTATCTTTGATATTTATGACCCACCCAAGTTGGGTGGTGTGCTGCTTTGCTGCTTCGAATTGTAGTTAGACCGCTTTGTCAAATATCGTACTGGT